TATATATATATATATATATAAATGTATAAAATGTATATATGTATATATATATATGCATATATATGTATATATATATATACATATATATATATAATATTTAATCATAGGTGGAAAGTAACAAATCACTTCTGAAAAGTAATTTGTGAGTAAATTACTTACTGTACTGTAATTGGGTAGTTTTTGTGATTTTTTAAAAGTATTATCGAGAATAGGTAATGTACTTTTACTCCAGTACATTTTGACTCAAGTATTTTACTTTGCTACATCGGAAAAGACATATTTACACATTATATGAACTGAATATACGTTATATGTACACATTATATGTGGATTAAATAGCTGTATTTGTATGGCACAATATGATTCAATAGTTGTAATCTAGTTCTAGAGATTAAATATAAAAAAATCTTTATTTTTTATTTTTATTTTAATTGCTCATGATCTACCAGTATATCTACTGGTAGATCCAGGTCTACTTATTGGACACCACTGCTTTAGCCGTTGAATGACAGCTGGTGCCGAACAAGAGACGGAGGTTGATTAACAGAGAGCACCTGTGGAACAAATGACGCAGAAAGAGAAAGAAATACATGGCCATATCTCAGGCTCTTTGTTTTCAAATACAAAGGAGGCAATAACTTTAACATGCAGTGCAAAATGTGCCTGTCCCTGGCTGTCGAAACTTCCAGAACAAACCCGCGAAAGCGTGTGGCGGTAAGTCGAGTATCTGTGCTTTTACCTGCGTATCCCAAACATTATGTTAAACGTTTTTTTTGTGTGTATCCCAAACATTATGTTAAACGTTTTTTTGTGTGTATCCCAAAACATTTTTAAAATGTTAAAACGTTATTGTTTAAAACCTTCCTCCGTTAAGCGAAATGTGCCTTCACGATATCGATAATTTTTGCCTAGCTTAGCATCCATCCTGATAGTTAACGTTTAAATGAAGTCGAGCAGTGTCAGAGTATCAGTCAGAAATAATACAAGTTTATAGTTTTAAATTTTGCCTCTATTGAAACCATCGAAATTCATGTATTTTATTAATTGCCTTTTTTTTTTTAGAACTTGTGAAAAAAAAAAAGAGTCGCTCACAGAATTTGGTGTGGGTCTTTGTAACTGACACAGGCTGCCACAGGAGGCGCCATTACAGAAATGTGGTTCCTTTGGGAATCGAATGCGGATGGTTGTTTGTTTGTTTGTACTGTATGTGTGGCCCAGCGATGGACTGGCGAACTGCTGAGATGGGCAACAGCGCCCCCCAGTGACTTTGCAAAGGAATAAGCAGTGATTTAGTCACTAAATAAAATGAAGATAAATAGATTCCATGCTGCTCCATTTTGTTTTGATTTATAAAAAGTGTAGCAAAAAATATTTGGACAGTGATTAATAATGAACAGCTACATAATTTTGTATTTTAATGTGTGTGTGCTAGTTTATTTATTTTTATTTTGTTTTTACAGAGTACAGTACAACTGCATATGTAAACACACACCAAGGGAACTCCGAGCTGCTCTCATGTTCTGGCAGATGTGTATCACGGTTGGACCCCGCCCCTCCTCCCACCTTTGAACCAGAGGTTGTTAATGAATCTTGTTGAAAGCACCGGTATCAGCTGTCAGCTTACTGTAAGTATGTGAAGATAACATTCTCTGTCTAAAAAAAAAAAAAAGACTGAAGAGAAAAGGTTGTATTCTTTTTAATTTAATTTTAATTTCAAGTCAGTCAGAAACATAAAGGCACAGCAACTGAGCATAGAAAAAACATGAGTTCCCTTTATTAGGAAAGTCCATTCAGTGTCACTGATTCAGTTTGTAGAACATTTGATTGCACAATTCACTATTTCTAAATGAAAAAAGAAGCAACAATTTTTTTTCCCCTTTGAACTGAAAAATACATTTTTAGACTGAGGAGAAATCGGCACAGTGTCGTTGTTTTACATTGTTCATTTATTTAATTTATTCATTTTTATTTACATCGTTCACTCGTCCAGTCATTTCAAACACTCGTTCACTCACAACATTCGTACACGTCATCAGCAAAAAACCCAACTTTTTTCTTTTAAACTTGCTAAAGACTAAACCTGAAGAAATATGTTCTAAAGGTTTTCTGTCATAGACCCGGGTCTTAGTCCTTGACCTTGGTCCTCGTCTCAGCATGCTACTCATTTGTTTCAAATCATGAGTGAGACCTGACCTTTTTTATTAGTACAGTCACTCATCAGGGCACCCCGCTACCCTTGCCTTTTCTGTGTGGGCATGTCTTGGGGGCGAAGAACCCAATGAAACAGAAAAAACTGCTGTACAGGAAGTGCAGTGTAAATAGTGTCTCAGTGTATTGCAAATGTAACAGAAAATACAGCTGCTGACCTTAGATCAGGGTGATATTTTAGTCCATAAATTCAACTACATTTTCTTTTTTACTAAAGTGTTGACTTTGTAATGCAGTATATTACTGTAAAAACCTGAAAACCTTTGGAGTCAAAGCTTATTTCAGATAAATTAGAAAGTGAACAAAATTTAAAAATAAATACCCTTTTTTTTAAATTTTAGTGACAATAATATCCAGTGTAAGATTTATTTACATCGGTGCAGCGACAAAGGCTCCTCGGAACCATCTGTGGGTCAGAACCATCTGTGGGTCACAGCTGTTTGTTTTGCAATAAAAGTACACACACTTTGTCCTGTAAATGCCGACAAGTCACAAATTCAACGCAGCATTCGAGTAAAACTAGTTAAGGCCTTTCCCAGAATGCACTTGGCAGAGATCTGACCGTCGTCAAGCAGCTTCCATCAGTTCGACTCTGTTGTCTCTTTCGCTTGATTCCTGAGGCTCGGTGTTCTGCACCTCCGGCTCCTCCTGGGTTTCCTGCCGCTCCGGCGTCATCAGTACCATAGTGGCGGCAGCAGAGTAAGAGGGCGGGAGGTCAACTGGCACTGTTCTGGTTCGACTGCGGCCGTTATGGCAGCACACGCAGTGCAGGCAGTCGTGGATGTTGTGTTTGAAGAGGCGTCTGCAGGGATGGAAGAACTGGTAGAAGAGCAGCATGAAGAGCACGGCCAGGCTGTAGCCGATCAGCAGCTGCACGCACAGCAGCGGCGCGCACACGTACTCGTAGAAGTCCGACTTGTAGAAGTACCAGAGCGTGATGAGCAGGAAGTTCTCCACGAAGCGTCCGCAGTAGTAGGCGGCCAGTCGGGCCCAGCGCTGCTTCTTCTCGATGAGGTCTCGGTGAGAAAGATCCAGCTGGACCGCGGACCAGCAGAAGATGTTGATGCACGCGTAGAGCAGCGTGAAGATGCCCAGCACCACCGTGGTACCCACTTTGGAGAAGTTCTTCTCCACGTTCTCCGTCAACGAGCCCTTCTTCACCCAGAACTCCACCCAGGGCAGGAAGAAGAAGAAGAGGAGGTTCACCATGCCCACCAGGATGACCCAGTGAGACAGCGCCGTGCTAAAAAGAACCAGTGCTGTGATTCTGGTGGCGATCTCCAGGACTCGCCACACAATCATGCACAGGTACGCCGCAGGACGCAGACGCACTTTATAGTCGTCATATCTGATCTGGATGGCCAGGACGTTGCAGACCAGAGCGCCGTAGGTGATGGAGATGAGGGTGATGATCATCAGTGCCACTGAGAACGTGGGAAGAAAAGGGAAGAAAAAAAAAAAAAAAAAACAGCATCAGACTTAAGCAGTGGTTCTTAATTATTTTCTGTAACGCCCCCCTCTGGGGACAGAAATGTTTTCACGCCCCGAAAAACCCCGAACCCACACCCCCACCCCGCGTGAATTTAAATACTATTGAGAACCTAATTACATGTACTATATTTTTTATCTGTACAAACCAATGTGTGAGTTGCTGCCACCTAGTGGGGGGCACTTTAGCAATCCAGTTTCCCTTGAAGGGCCGGTTGTAACTGTAAGACTATAAAGATGTAACTACTATTATTATTCAATATAAGACTGTGTACGTTGCTCTGTGTAATGACATTGTTTTATTAATCAGGTGAAGAGACTCACCAGCATGAACTTTATTACATCCCAATCAAATAGTTGTTAAGCTCCCGCGGGCCACATAGAAGGACTTGACGTGACGCATTTGGCCCACGGGCCTTGAGTTTGACACGTGCTTTAAACTCAGGATCCAAGCCATACTGACTTAGATAATAATTTGTCATCCTAGTCTAGTTTATTCTATTGTTCATCAATAATCCAATCCTGTCTGTAGTGTACACTGACGATGGTGTGTTGTTGTGCAGGCCCTTACATCTCAGCGGCATCACGTATTTCTCCTGGATGGTGGCGTAGAGCTGCAGCGTCAGCTGAGGGGTGGAGCCCAAGAAAGCCTGGATGACTGCGGTG